GAGTTCCCCCAGTGCCCCCTCAGTGCCCTCCAGTGCCTCCCAACTCCCCCCCAGGGCCCCTTCAGTTCCCCCCGAGTGCTCTTAGTGCCCCCCAGTGCTCCCCAGTTCCCCCTCATTCCCCCCCAGTTCCCCTCCAGTTTCCCCCCAGTGCCCCCAGTTCCCGGGCAGCACCTCGCAGCTCTGGAAGCAAAGCAAACAGAAGCCCCTTGTCAAAAACCAACACACGGAACAGTTTGAATTGGAAGGGAAATTGAAGCTCCCTCAAAGCAGGAACACCTTCCACTCTCCCCCTCCGAGCCCTGTCCAAGCTGGCACTGGGCATTTCCAGGGCTCCACAGGAAATTAAAAACCTGCAGAATCAGCCTGCCCCGAGGGTGAGAGGTTCTGCACTGCCCTTCTCGGCTGTGAGCTGCTGTTTTATGCAAACAGGGCTCCTCCCACGCCGCCACCCGGCTTCTGGCTTTGCAGGAATTCCGGGCTGCCCGTACAGTAAAAATAAACCCCGATGCTCCCCAGAGGAACGCCCGCTTCCTAACGCTGGAAGTAAGTGAAAATTCTTTCTCTTGCCTCCTCCCCTGCCCCAGGGCTCCCTGCAGGCCTGCTGCTCTCTCAGGGAGCTGGAAGCGTTCAGCAGAGCACGGGAGGTGAAGGTGGATCCTGACAAACCTCTGGAAGGTGCCCGGCTGGCGGCTCTGCAGGTAAGGGCAGCTGGGCAGGGCGAGCAGAGCACGGGAGGTGAAGGTGGATCCTGACAAACCTCTGGAAGGTGCCCTGCAGGTAAGGGCAGCTGGGCAGGGCACAGCAGAGCCTGGCACCTCTGCAGGGATGTGTCCCTTGCTGTAGGGGTGTGTCCCCTGATGACAGAGTGAACAAATTATCCTTTGTGTCCTTAAAAAGCCCAGAAATTTCCTCAGTTTGGTACAAAGACACCTCACAGGACCTTCACCTCAAACCTAAGGATGCCCAGTGGGACAGAAGCCAAAAGGTCCCATCTAGGAATTCACTAGAAAAGAGAACAAAGGAAATAATCCCTTTTGTGAGGTGTTTTACCAGGAGAAACAAATTATCCTTTGTGTCCTTAAAAAGCCCAGAAATTTCCTCAGTTTGGTACAAAGACACCTCACAGGACCTTCACCTCAAACCTAAGGATGCCCAGTGGGACAGAAGCCAAAAGGTCCCATCTAGGAATTCACTAGAAAAAGAAGAGAACAAAGGAAATAATCCCTTTTGTGAGGTGTTTTTCCAGGAGAAAGAGCCTCTTGTCCCTGGCTCGGTTTTGATCTGTAAGAGCTTTGTTATTTTGCCTTTTATTAAAACTTTGGTGTTTCCAACGCTGCCTCAGAAGCCATCCTGCTGATTTTGTGCCATTGAGGTAGCTGGGCTGTCTCGGGTGTGATGGGTTCCTCTGAGAGCTCATAAGACCTGCCTCAAGGAGAAAATATAACACACCTCAGCAACACCTGGCACTGCATCTCCAAGGTTTTATGTGCAGCTCATTTGTGGAGCTCAAATCAATAAATTTCATGGAATGGTTTAGGTTGGAAGGGATTTGAAGGATAATTCAGTTCCAGCCTCCTGCCCTGAGCAGGGACACCTTCCACCATCCCAGGGTGCTCCAAGCCCTGTCCAGCCTGGCCTTGGACATTCCAGGGATCCAGGGGCAGCCACAGCTGCTCTCCTCACCCTCACAGGGAGAATTTCATCCTCACCCTCCCTAATATCCCATTTAACTCTGCCCTCTGTTAGTTTGAAACTGTTATCTCATAAAGCTATTTAGAAACATAGCTTTAAAGAAGGAATTGTCTTTAAATGTATATCCTGAAATATCTTCAAATGTCTGTCTTGCCTTTTATTTCTTCAATAAACCTTTTTATGGAATTTTCTTGTATTGGAGGAAATTAATCTTACAAGCACTACACCATCAACAACATAACAAATTAAATATTTGTAGTTTTTACTGTGGGACAATACAAGTATTTCTTCAGTGTAAAATGAACTTTCTCATGTGGTTCCCCAGGCAAGGAAGACTTTGCTGGTTCCCACACCACGGCTGAGGACTGGGCTGTTCAACAGGATTGTTCCCCCTGCAGGTGCAACCAAGGAGATGCTGAGAAGATGTGCCACATCTCAGGTGGGAGTGAGGGATCAGGGAGGGCTGAATTTACTTGGGGACAGTCTGGGCTTGGGATGGACCAGCTGGAAGTTGGGAAAACTGAAATATCTTCCTGTTAGGATGTTATCTCTGGGTTTGTGTACGTTGCTAATATTGAAATCAGGAGAAAATCCAGTCTTAGCAGGGTTAAAAGGGATTTGAGTTGATATTTCTCAGTGTCTTTTAGAAAATCATGACTTGAGGTGAGTTAGATCTTTCTTCATGCTCCTCCATTCCGCAGTTTTGAGCTGCTGAACCCTCTGGGGGATAGCTTAGTGCTCTTAGGTGCTACCAGACAGGAAAATCGAGGTTTTTACAGAACACAACACCCAAAGAGCTGTGAATCGTGGTGTTTGCATGCGGACCCGTGGGAGGCTGGCCTTTGCAGCGGTCTCCTGCTGCCCTCTCGTGTTCCAGTCTCACCGCACAGCCGAGGCTTTGGCCACAGCCCCGCGGGTTTTACATCCGTCTGTGTCTGCCGTGAAAACCCAGCCGGTACAGCATGAAGAGCTCACTACAGGGATTTATTTCCTCCTTTATCTCCTGCTAACGGCAGTAAAATTCTGCAGCAACCCCCTAAACAGCCGAGCTTGTAAAGGCTGGGAATTAGTAGTGACTTTCTTTGTTGGAAGTTCTATTGCAGTCATTAACTAATTAAGCTGTTCAGGGCTGAAGAGCATTTTTGCAAGAGACCTTTCTCTTGGCCTGCTGTCTGATCTGGGCTCTTACCACCATGTGTCTGGTTTTTGCCCCAGCCCACTAATGAAGAAATGCTGTTGGCAGTTTGTATTTACAAAGCCCTGTGCAAACAATCCTTACCACACTGCTGGGAAGTGCCTGATGGGCATTAGTGCTGATAGTCAGCCACAAATTACTGAATTCGTGGGGTTTCTGCTCTGCACAGAACGTGTTTGGCTTTTTTTTGTGGCATTTATTGTGATTTTAATAATGTTAATTTGTAATTAGCAGCAAGTTGAGTTGGTGTGAGGAGCATTTGCACTGTGCTGTACACATATATTTGGAGTGATTGAATCACAAGATGTATTTTTAATAGTTCTAAACCTTGGATATTTAAAAACCCAAGTAAACATAATTTTTAATTTCTGCAATTTGGACAGAATTTTCATTAAGATGAGAACAGATTGAAGAGAAGTGGGTGGGGTTGAATGAGGAGAGGGGAGGAAAAAAATAATTGTATCACTTTGTGTAACTTCAGATTTCTTTGTGCTGTAGCTGTCTGTGTCTAAATTAACTTTGTGATTTGTATTTCAGAATTAATTGAAGCATTTGTAGTGCTCTGGTATTCCTCAAGCTTTTAGTAGAGTAGGGAAGTGTAAATAGGAAGTGTCACTTGCCCTCATTTTTAAGAACAGATTTCCAAAAAAAGTGTTTCAAAATACCAGGTTTTGATCCTAAATTAAAAACCTTGTTTCTAAAAGTGCCCACCTCCCTCAGCTCTCCTTGCAGTGTGCCAAAATTCTTGTCACTGTAGTAGGGAATCTATTCTAGGATTCCCTGGGGATAACTTCCCAGACATGTACAGCTTGGCTAAACATGGAAGAGACACTTGGAAACGTGGGGAGTTACTGGGATTTATCAAAATATCCTGGATTTCTGCCTCAGTTCTTGGAAGACTGTGCCCTCTGCAAACCTCAAATGCTGTTTTTTTCCTGCAGGGTGTGAGAGACTACAGCGTGCCTGTGGGGCTGGATGGGAAAGCACAAGTGGACTTGGTGGTTGTGGGATCAGTGGCTGTCTCTGAAAAAGGTGAGGAAAAACTTCCAGCAGGAAGGTTCCAAGTGCCAGCCCAGGGGCAGGGACAGATTTCTCCTTGGAGCTGAGTTGTGCTCTTGGCTTCTGCCCCTGTGTGTGCCCAATCCCTGCTGGCAGTCCCAGCAGGAAGCAGGGGGCCTCAGGATGCAGTGGGCACACAGCAGTGGCCTCAGGGATGTTCAGGAAAACCCTTGAGGCAAGGAATTCTTTGTGTTTAACGGAATCCAAGCAGGCTCCCTGCTCAGGGATCTGCTCTGCTCACACAGGCTGTGTGAAGGGACTTGTGTTAGACCTGCTGATTCAGGACCTATTTGGGGATCAGATTTTGCATTTTCTAGTATTTTGAAAACCTGCTGGTGCTGAAAAATTTTCCACTGACTGTATCCTTTGCCTAAAATAACACAGTTTTTATATGTGACCCAGACTCCTCTTTACCCACATGAACCTGTGTTGGACATGAAGAGAAGGTTCTAAATACAATTGCTAAATAAACTGCTGTGTTAACTACATTGAATTTGTTTATTCTGAATGGGAAGCTTCTGGGATCTTTTAGGAGTCATTGAAACTGATTTTTTCTTTCATTTCAATGCTGATTTCAAGGAAAGCTGCACTCTGTGAGAGATGCTGATCTGATTTTTTCCAGACTTACAACTTGCAGACTGCTGGGTTAATTACACCATTTTAACAACTTCCCACTGTGCTGTTTGGGTTTTTTTTTCCCACTTTCTGTGCTTTAGGCTGGAGAATTGGCAAAGGGGAAGGTTATGCAGACATGGAATATGCAATGATGGTGTCCATGGGGGCAGTGCAGGAGGACACACCTGTGGTTACCATCGTGCACGACTGCCAGGTGAGCCGAGATGTTCAAACATCCCCTCTCCAGCTGGGAGGGAGCTCTGGGACACTTCCTGCTCTGTCTGGAGAGGAGACATGGAATGAAGCTGGTTTGGCATCTTCATTCCCATTGTCTTTGATGGATTTTCATGTGACAAGACATCAGGAATGGGGCACAGCTTTAGGGAGTTTTTTTTTTTAGCTACTTAACCAAATCTCTGCCTTGTAGGTGCTTGACATAGCAGAGGAGCTGCTGGGTGATCATGATTTAACTGTGGATTTCATCCTCACTCCAACAAGGACTATCCAGACTAATTGCAAACGACCAAAACCTCAGGGAATAATGTGGCACAAGGCAAGTTCAATCTTAATCAAGTTAAATCTTAAACCTTTGCTGCTGGTGGCTTACTGGTACCAATACCCTGCTGATAAACCCCCCATTTTTATATAGAAACAAATTTTTAAATTAGAAATATTTGGTAAAAGAGCAGGTGTGTTTGTCAGGTGAAACAAACAGCAGGATCTGTGTGCAGTGGGGTTTAAGGGGTGATGGTGAGGAGAGATATCTCCCTCCATCTGAGGTTGCTGTGTCCAGTGGATTATCAGGAGGTGCTGCCCCATCCTGGAGGTGTCCCAGGGGGTGGAACTGGTGGGTAGAAGTCTGTGCTGCTGTGGTTGTGAAAGGAAAACACAACCTGCTGCTGGTACATTCCTGTTTTTGCAGTGGATTCACTTTCCAGGGATAAATTCGTGGCTGCAGCTCATTTTCAGGTGGAAGAACAGGTATTCAAACATGATTTTGTTTATTGGTAGTTCTATTATGGATTGGCCTTTCCTCCCTGCCCAGTGTCAGAAACTTTTCAGCTTCCCAAATAGTTTCAGGAAAGCCTTGAGTGAAGGCTCAAGGCTTGAAGTAAAACCTCCTTGTTTTACTGGAGGTTCCTGCTGGGAAAACTTTTTCTTTGTCACTGGATTTTCATTTCTAAAATCATCCAGTCAGGGAGCAGACCCAATCCTGCGTGAGTGACTACAGCAGGAATGCCGAAATGAGGAATTGTGCACCCACATCTTGCAGAAACTGAAGAATTTTAAGGGAATACTCCTAGGGAAATCAAAAGTTGTTTGTTAAAATTTGCCAACCAGCTAAAAGGGTTAAATTTCTTTAGGTAATGTATCTACAACAAACAAATTCTAGCCAGGACTATTTTTATTCCAGTAGTGGGAGAGCATTTTACCCTGCCTGTGGTTGAGGATTTGAGGTTATAAATAAATAAATAACAGCTCTGTCTGTCCTAGTGCATTTTTTCCATTGAATTATTTTTGAATTGTAATTTTTTTTAGTATATTATTGAATGTAATTGTGTTGAAGGCCTACCCCTTGTGCTCCATCCATCTTGCCAACATATTTTTGATCAGTTTGTCTGCCTTGGTGTCAGACTTCTCAGTAAGTGGCCTTGCTGACACTTTTTTAATTTCTTTTTTTTGTGCCTTTAGCAGAAACTGAATTTTCTGCAGCTTTCACTGAGAATGGAGCACAGATTGACCCTTTATTTGAATATTTGAGTGTTGATTTAACACCTTTTGTTTTGAACTGTGTGGATTAAATAGGATTACTGGAGAAGACTAGGGATAATCATCACTTTTCTGTCTTTTTGGGACCAGAACAAAGTGTGGTGTCTCTATGAAGAAGAAATTGCCATTATTCCCCAGGGAAATGAGTGACATTTATTTTGTAGTGGTAGCTGGGTGTTCAGCTCTTGCACAGAGGGGTTTGGAGGTGGGAGGTCTGGTTAATCACAGGCTGTGAAAAAGGCAGCATTTGATAGGGGCTATTTAAGTGTTTGTCCTTTGGATTTTCCTGGCTATTTCTCCATCATTTTCTCCCCATCCTTTTCTCCTGCAAATCCTGGCTTTGCTGGTGCATTCCTGTTCCTCAGAGCAAAACTAAATGAACCAAGGGGCAGTGAGTAAATAAATCATCCACTTCTAAACATGGGGTTTTGTCAACACAGAGTAGCTTAACTCCATTGTGAGGATGTGTGAGGTGGAAAATACATTGTAAAAAAAATCTGATCCTTGGGGAGCAGGGCTGGATCAGGCCAGGACAATGTTTAGGAGTTTGAAATCCAGGTGTTTGCAAATATGGGATTACAGCTAAGGGTTGTTGTAAGGATGTGCTGTCAGTAATGCACACTCAGCTCCATTGGGAAGGAGGTGCTCACCCAGCAAACAAATCCATGGCTGCATTTTCCTGGAGTGCTCGTGTGTGTTCTGAGCTCTTTAGAGACTTCCAAGGAAGTGGAGAAGCCACAACATCATCAATACAAAAAAATCATTATCAGGCACTCCAGAAACACTTCTAAATCCCCAGTGCTGGGGGGTGTTTGTGGAACTTTTGTCCCTCTGAGGTCAGAGTTTTGGGACATCAATTTGAGTTACTGGAGGGCAGCAAGAGCTGCTGAGAGCTGAGCACTCTGGAAAACTTTATTTGGATGCCAGTGGAGAATATTTGGCTTCATCTGTCTTGAAAATTCAACCCATTGTTTCTGGAAACTCTGAATTCATGAAGCTACTTGCTTTCTCATTTAATATTTTCTATGGGTAACTGTGATCTTTATCTGGGACACTGGCTATTATATTTGTCCCAATTATCACGTTATTTGTGCTGTGCTTATTTTAAATTGAAACTACAGACAAATTAAAATATTTGGGTTCATGAAGAGGAAAAGGAGAGTAGCTGGTGGAAAAATCACTGTATTTTAGTAAGCATTTCCTTCTGGTTTTGAAATAATTCTTTTGCTGAGAACTTTCTAGCAGTAGGAAAAGAATTTAATGAAATGAAATGAAATGAAATGAAATGAAATGAAATTAAATTAAATTAAATTAAATTAAATGATGAAGTGACGTGGGGGGGAATCCCAGTGGCAGAGATGGAAACCTCTGATAACAGCTTTGGGTGTGTGATAGAACATCTGGAAAGGAAAGCTCAACAAATGCACCCATCCAAGCTGGCAAATCCTTCAGCAGAAGGAAACTGCAGTCAGTGTAGGCAGGGCTTTGTTGTGGTGTGGTTTTTGGGCTGGTGGGGACAGGGAATGCTTCCACACGTGGTCACACATCTCAGCACCTTCACAAAGCTGAGCCTCACTGCAGAATGCACGAGTGGATTCCAAGTGTGGGCTGCAGAAGTTTCTCCTGAGGGACACCAGTAGGCTGCCAGCTCCCAGAAATGTGCCCTTGGATTGTGTGCACATATTTGGACATTTTGTGCAAATGAATGATAAAATGTTCAGCTGTGCTGGCCTTGCTGCCCTAGCCTTGTCTGTGCCACAAATCCCTGTTTGCTCAGAGCTCCTGCAAACGAGGACACAGCATGAAAAGAGGACACAGCATGAAAAGTTGGAGGTTTTGAGCAATCTGGGGTCAGAGCCCTCTGAGGATGGGCAGAGATGACCCTTGCTAACACTTTTGCCCACCTGTTTGGAAGGGCTGGTGGACCTGCAGCACTGGAGGTGTTTGGTGCTGTTTGCAGCCTGCCAGGGCAGCAGCATCAGTCTCCATCTTAAAATCATGGAATGGGTTGGGTTGGAAGGGATTTGAAAGAGAATCTTTCCTTCCACTGCACACCTTCCACTGTCCCAGGGTGCTCCCCAGCCTGGCCTTGGACACTTCTAAATGTCCCCAAAGGACATTTGTGATGTGACAGCCACAGCTTCTCTGGGCACCTGTGCCAGGGCCTCCCCACCCTCTCAGGGAACAATTCCTTCTCTATATCCAAACTAAATTTTCCCCTTTTCAATTCTGAGGCCATTCCCCTTGTCCTGTCACTGATGGACAGTCCCTTTCCAGCTTCCTTGTAGCCCATTCAGGTCCTGGAAGGTGCTGGGATGTCTCCAGCCTGAACAGCTCCAGCTTTCTCAGCCTGTCCCCACAGGGGAGGTGTCCCAGTCCTCCTACCAACTTCATGGCCTCCTCTGGACTCGATCCAACATTCCATGTTTTTCTGCTGCTGGGGACACCAGAGCTGAGCACAGGATTCCAGGTGGGGTCTCACAAGATCCAGGTGTTCCTGTGTCAGTGAGATGAGGAGCTGTGGGAAGCAGAATGAAATAGCAGGATAAGGACAGCCTACAATCCCATCCCATCCAGGATTTTTTTCCTCAGGTTTCTGTCAGAAAAGGGCCACATTTCCCTCCTCAGCTCCTTTCCCAGTAATTGTGTGCCAGAAGAATTTATCCAGCCTGCTGTCCTCTTTCCCCAAGGCTCTCCCAGCCATGGCAGGGATTATTAAATGATTAATTGCCTTTGGTGGAGTTATTTTAACCCAAATCACTTCAGAGTTTGTGGCACAGACCCATGAGCATTTCTGTTGGCCAAGCCCAGAGGGCTGAAGTGTGGAATTGGTCTGGGAATCAGTGGTCAGGGGATGATAGGGAGCTTCTTCAGCTTTGGTTTCACTAGCAAAGCTACATCCCAACACTCAATCCAAACTTTCAAAACATCAGTAAATGGTTTGGCCTTGGCTTTGAAGGGATGGGGGGGTTTGCCCATGTCCACATAGCTGGATCAACCAGACTTGGGCTGGAATGTCCCTAAATTCTGCCTTAGCCTAAAGCAGTAGGTAGGGACAGGAATAGGGATAAGCAAGGCTAGGGAGGACTGACCAGCCAGCAGAGCACCCAGAAGTGTGCAGCTTGTTTGAAAGAGAGGAGGAATATCTTTGGCCTCTCTCCACATGGAAATAAATCCTTGCAATCCTCCCCAGCTCACAGGACAAAAGGAACTTTTTGCATGATTGTAATTAGCAACAGATTGTGCTATCACAGGGTTCTTTTGTTTGCTCTTTTGCAACAGAGCAGAACGAGCTTTTTCCTCTCCCCTGCCACCCACTGCCCCCTTTGCCCTTTTAGTTCTCACCCCCAAAAGCCCCAATGGATTTGTTTGTTGAATTGAAACCCCAAATTGAGTTTCTGCCTTTCTGTGGCATAAAAGTGGGAGAAAAGACGGAAGGGTTTAGAAGGTTTAACCCAGCTGAAATGTTCCCCTAGAACCCAGGGAGAAAAAAGCCCTTAAGGTAAATCCTCTGTGCCTCTTGTGACAGGAAGGTGTCAGCTGACAGTGTCAGAACTTGCCTAATATTTTTTACAAATCTTTGCTAATACAGAAAAATAAAAGTCTTAAATCAGCTGCCTTTGTGGCTTTGGTGAAGGTCTGTTGCTGTTGTGCTGCACTGGGCTGGATTTTGAGGGAATGACAGAATCACTTCATGATGGTGTTTGATCAGAGCTTTAAAGAAAATAGTTCATAGCCCTTACAAAAATCCCAGAATCATTGAGGTTGGAAAATGCTTCCAAAATCATGAAGTCCAACCTGTGAGTGATCCCAGATCAGACAGCTGAGTTCCATGTCCTGTCTTCCCATAAACACCTCCAGGGATGAGGACTCCACCACCTCCCTGGGCAGTAATTCCAATGTCTAATCCCCCTTTCTGTGCAGAAATTCCCCCTGAAACATGAATGCTGCTCATTGCATCTTCCTGAGGTTGCCAGGAGCCTGAAACAGCAGCTCCAAGAGCTGCAGGCTGATGCCAAAATCTGCTTAGTGAGAGGAGATGCCTGGTGGAAGTCCCTTAGAGATTGTGCTGTTCCCTGGATTATCTAAATCCTGCCCTTGGATTGTCCTTGAAAGCCTGGGAATTCCAGGGTTGGTCCTCTCAGTGCCCATCTCTGATTGCCCCAATCTCCAAAGCCCTGAGGGTTTGCCCTTGATAGCATTTCCCTTTCTAACCAAACACCCAACCCAAGCCTTGGCAACTGAGTTTAATTTCAGGATGAAAGGAGCTGTTCCTGGGTTGTGCTTTGGGGCCAGGAGTGATTGGTTGCATGAGAACAGAAAAATGTTTTTCCTGTTTGGTTTAATTAGCATAGAGCTTACATTTCACATTGAAATTTGACAGAGGACAACAAACCTTCTTAATTGTTGGCCAGTACAAACAAAGTGAGACCCTTCAGCCCTTGGTTTGATGTTGTGTCACTCAGGGAAGGGGAGTTTGCTGTCAAACACAGCACTTGGAATTCTTGGCTGAGAAAAACAAATCAGCCCCAGAATCCACAGAGTAATAACTCTGTAAAATCTGGAAATGCTCTGCACCTTTCTGAGTGTGGAGGCTCCAGGAGCAAGTCCCCAGAGCAAGTCCTTGCTGTTTGATGTTGTGTTAGCAGAACTAGCACAGGCTTTATGGAAATCATGTTTTTATTTAGCTCCAGCCTGAAATGAAACCTGCTTGTTTGCTCTTCAGAAGATTAAGAGAATTCTGTTGAGTGACTTGCCTGTCACCTCATCCTGACATTGCCCCCACCCTGCCTTGGCTTTTCCTAGAGTCACTTCAGAGCTGGGCTGCTGTCCCCAGGGAGCTGAGCTTGATGCTGTGCAGATGCAGGCTGGCTGTGGCTGTGACTGTAGGAGCAGGAACTCAGAGGCTCTGGGCTGGGAGCTCTGCAGGCCTGTGCGAACTGGGATGTACTGGTGCTGCTCCACTCCAGCCTCTCACATTCTGGGCTACTAGCCTGGGTCTCTGCTAGCTCAGGCATTGCTTCCCCAGGCTCTGTTTTGCTCCCTGAATTTCAGCATTGGATGTGGTGTTGATGGATGTTGGACTTGTCCAGCAGCCAAGCAGGAATTCCTCCTCCTTCCAAGCTCAGTGTGCAAGCCAAGAGCTCGACCACATTAGCTGGGGAACCACTGCATTTCCTGCCAGTGTCTGAGTGCAGCCTGGGGCATCTCATGCCTCGCATGGATGGGCTTCAGCTGTTGAGAGGAAGAGCCCTTCCAGAGAAGCTCTTTGGGTCAGGGCATGGAGGGATGGATGAAGGAATAACGGGCTCACAGCGGGAAGCGCAGCGTCCGAGCGCTGCCGTTCCCTGCTCCAGCCCAGCACATCCCTGTGGGGTCTGAGGAGCTGGGGCTGGTGTGGGAGGTCGGGTGGCACACAGGGGATGTGCCCCAAGCAGGGGACGTGCCTCCAGCCGGGCCCACATCCACAGGAACCCTGCTCCAAGGCACGCTCCTGCTGCAGCTTCCACCATTGTGTGACCCAGCCCACGGATATCCTGTGCTGGGGGAAAAGAGCACCAGGAGCTCTGCAGAATGGAAGGGTCTGGTGGGTTGGGATGGATTCTGTCAGGACAGGGGATTGGGATGGATTCTGTCAGGCCAGGGGATTGGGAGGGATTCTGTCGGGACAGGGATTGTGTAGGATTCTGCCAGGACAGGGATTGTGTAGGATTCTGTCAGGACAGGGATTGTGTAGGATTCAGCCAGGACGGGGATTGTGTGTAGGATTCTGCCAGGACATTGATTGTGTAGGATTCTGCCAGGACAGGGATTGTGTAGGGTTCTGTCAGGACAAGGATCGTGTAGGATTCTGCCAGAATTGTGTAGGATTCTGTAGGATTGTGTAGGATTCTGCCAGGACAGGGATTGTGTAGGATTCTGCCAGGACAGGGATTGTGTAGGGTTCTGTCAGGACAAGGATCGTGTAGGATTCTGCCAGAATTGTGTAGGTGTGTGTAGGATTGTGTAGGATTCTGCCAGGACAGGGATTGTGTAGGATTCTGCCAGGACAGGGATTGTGTAGGATTTTTCCAGGACAGGGATTGTGTGCAGGATTTTGCCAGGACAGGGATTGTGTGTAGGGTTCTGCTAGAGCAGGAGCACAGGCTCTCAGTCAAAGCAAACACAGAGGGAGAACAAGGAGAATGCAGCTCTGAAAGCACTCGGATTGTGTGTAGGGTTCTGCCAGGACAAGGACTGTGTAGGATTCTGCCAGAGCAGGAGCACAGGCCCTCAGTGAAAGCAAACACAAAGGGAGAACAAGGAGAATGCAGATCTGAAAGCACTCAGATAAATAAATGTCACACTGGAATAGTCCTGACTTTGGTTGGGATTTGCCTGCTGGATCCATGTTGTGCTGCTCACTTCAAGAGCCACTAATGTTTATTTTTGTCCTGCAGTGTGTATTTAGGGAGACTTCCCAATCAGAGCAGCAATTAGGAACATTTGGAATGCTCTGGCACTCTGTGTGGCAGCAGGATAATAAGGTTCCTCTCTTTTTATGGCACAAACGAGCCCTGATGCTCATCATCTTTTTTTCTGGAAGGCAAGAAATTTTTTTACAATAATTACATCCATCTTCCTCCTTTTTAGGTCAGCTCTGAGATGCTGGGAAAAATCCCCATCCTAAAGACTCTTCGATGCAGGGAGAAGCAGGCTGGCAAGGATGTCACCCTCCAAGACGAACACCCAGCCCTGGCAAACACCAAGAGAGCAGCAATTTCAGGCCAGAAGGTGATGGCTGCAAATCCCCAGCCATGGGCTGCTCCAGTGGGAGATCCCCATGATCCTGGAAATCCCAAATTCCAGGGGTCTGACACAATCACCACTGTGTATGTGGGGAACTTGCCTGGCAGCCTGAGAGTGAGCCAGCTGAAAAGTGCCCTGAGGGAACTGCAGGTGGTTCCCGTGGCCCTGAAGTGGCAGGGAGCACAGCACAGGGCTTTCCTGGAGTACAGGGACCAGGGGGCTGCACACAGAGCTGTGGCCTCCCTGCAGGGCCTGAGCCTTGGGGGCAGTGCTCTGAGAGTGGAGCTGGCCAAGAGCAGCAAGGGGCAAGGAGAAATCCATAGTCACAAATGAGTATGGAGGGATAAAAAGCCCCAAAAAACAAACAAACAAAAAAGTTTTCATTGTTTTGTAAGAAGCCAACCTGAAGTTTTAAGGTGTTTTGTAACCCTCAGGTTTAACAAAACCAAATTTCTGCACGAACTTCCTCACTTCTGCACTTGGACATGCAAAGGTTTGTCCCCACAGGTAAGAGAGGAGCTATTTCTCTATAAACAATTACCCACAAAGTACCCACATTCTGGGTTTGGTGCTGTTTGGTGGTTTTGTTAAGCCTGGCTTAAAGCCCTGCCCCTTGGCACCTGCAGCAAGGTGGTTCCAGTCAGTCATTTAAGGTTACACCTGCCCCTTTATACCTGTGAGGTTAAAGGCAGCAGCAGGAAATCTGTCCTAAGGGTAAAAATTCTGTTTACTGAAAAATGGGCTTTGCCTGTTGGAACTTTTCAATTTACTTTTTATAAAAATGGCCATGGAGAGAGAGATTGACATTTTTGTGCCTTGAAGAGTGGCTGTGAAAAAACTGGCTTAGTTCTAACTCTGGTACGAGCTGGCAACATCAGGTGGGAAAGATGGGAACCCTGTTCTCAGCTTTTTGCTAAATCAGCCCTTGGTAAACCTTATATTTCTTATTTCAGAGCAAAGCAAATCCCAGTTTTCTCTGCTTTTCCCTAAAACCGCTTTTCTTATGGATCAGATAATTATAAAATTATGATTTTATAATTTAGCTGTATAATTCTATAATTCAACTGCTGTTCCTGATTGTCTCTTCTAACAGGATGTGATTCCTTTGCCTCTGTGAAATAACATTATTATTATTATTATTACTATTATTAATATTATTACTGGAATGAAAAGCAGGCACACCATGGTCAGAACTTGTTGGTGCTTAGTCTGGCACGGAATTCTTTGGGAATTTTCTGGAGATTGATTGATGCTTTGTCACCATCCCTGATGCTCTTCCACATCCTCAGTGAGGAGGGTGAGACATCACCACCCAACTTCTCCAGGTGAAAATGCTCCCAGGCACTGTCCTGGACATGAACATTCCCTTCCAGTGTAATGGCCAATAATGATTTATCTGCTATGGCTCTTATTACCTTTTTTTTCCCTCTTGGGTTTCCTATTCCTGAAAAACAAGTTAAATTTTGGCCCAGCCATCCTTTCTAAACAGAAGCACTTTTGCCAGTGATGCTGGGCACGTAGTCAAAGTAAGCATCTAAATGGATTTTATTTTCTTTAAAGTAAGAGTTGGGGTTTTTTAGCCAGGGAGTACTGTTAAGCATATTTTAAGCAGATTATTATGCCTTGAGGGTCAGACATTTATTCAGTATTTAATAAAAAGTTCTCATCGTTGTCACGTGGCTCTGTAGGGAAGGGCTGCAGGAAAGCTTTGGAGCTGCATCCAGCCCTGGGATCCCAGCACAGGAGGGAGCAGGAGCTGTTGGACAGAGTCCACAGGAGGCACCAGGGTGAGCAGGGGGATGGAGCAGCTCTGCTGGAGGAAAGGTAGAGAGAATTGGGATGGTTCAGCCTGGAGGAAGGAAGGTTTAGGGGAGAGCTCAACTTTCCAAATGGAAGTGACTCCTCCTCCCAATGGAGAGGGACATTGGACAAGGGCATGGAGTGACAGCACACAGGGAATGGCTGCACACTGCCAGAGGGCAGGGTTAGAGGGGATATCAGGGAGAAATTCTCCCCTGGGAGGGTGGGCAGGCCCTGGCACAGGTGCCCAGAGCAGCTGTGGCTGCCCCTGGATCCCTGGCAGTGCCCAAGGCCCGGCTGGACAGGGCTTGGAGCACCCTGGGATGGGGGAAGGTGTCCTTGTTCACAGCACAGGGGTTGGAACAAGATGATCTTTCAAATCCCTTCCAACCCAAACCATTCTGTCATTCTGTGAACTTCTTGTAAGGTCAGCAAAGGATCTGGAAAAAATCAGTAGTTCCCTTCCATTCTTTGTACAGCTCCAAACGATTTCCAGTATCACTGAGCCCAGATTCAGACAAGCACAACCCTCTGGGTCTCATTTCAGGGCTTGGCACTCCAGGCTGAGAGCCAGGGTTATGTTACTGCCCAAACACACTACTGCATCATCAGCTTCCAGAGCAGAGGAAAGAAAAGCAAAAAAATAATTATCCATCCCTGCCTGCCCTTTCCAAATGATGGCAAATTGAGTAATGAGATCATTTGCTGTTCCTTTTGGCTCTGGGATATTTCTTGCTCTGCTGAAGATGTCCAGGTGACCTTAGCAGTTAAAAGCCAGTGACTCTGCCAACAAAAACTTCCAGCATCTCAAACTTCCCCTGTTGCATTTCAGTGGAACCACCCTTTTCTGGTCACATTTGTGGGAATCACATCCTCTACCTGCTTTCCTTTCTTCCCATCTTGAGTTTCAGTGCAGATCTGTTTATGTGTTCTGTAAATGTGGTAACTTTGCTTTCCTGTCAGCCCAGCCTGCAGCCAGGGCCAGTTTTGTTTGGACAAACATCTGGATGTTTTTCTGTTTGCAGTTGTGGTTCTGGGTGAAGCCCACAGGTGAGCAGTGTCCAAAATCTTGGCTCTTTCCAGCCTGTCACTTTTTTCTGTCATGTGTTTCAATGCCACATTTCACTGTATTTACCCAACATCCTGTTGCTTTCCCAGCTGAGAGTTAAACTCCAAACCATGCTATGAGGAGATGCTGACAGGTTGGAAATCAGGAGGAATTTCTTCATGGAAGGGGTGGGAATTGGAAGGGGCTCCCCAGGGAGGTGGTGGAGGTGTCCAGGGAAGGGCTGGATCTGGCACTCAGTGCTCTGGGCTGGTGACAAGGTGGGGATGGGTCACAGATTGGATTTGATGATCCTGGAGCTCTTTTCCAACTTTTGTGATTCTATGAACTGTGGTTAGGAAGAAAAATAATTTATTGTAAGCTTAAACTCTTCACATTTTGAATGAACTGGAAAAATGCTGTAGTATTTTTGTATTTTTGATCAGGTTATTAATAAATGTCAATGCCAACTCAGTTAGTAAATCCCTCTCTGAAATCAGGATGGGGCTCTTGGTGCTGCTCTTCTCCAGCTAAAAGACATTTCAGTGCCAGCTGCCAAACTGCTGTTGAATTAAATGAAATTAATTAAATACAAGAGTGGCCAAGGCACAGCCCTGCATGGCCTTCTGGTGTCTCCAGCTGTATGATGTGGATTTTCTCTTGTGGGCTGACCCTAAAGGAAACAGCAGCTTGAGTAGAAAAAGTGAATGGGGCAGTGTGCCTCTGTCACAGCTATTGTTCCAGGCTCTCTGCATGCTCAGGAAGGCATCACTTAGAGCAAAGTCAGGGGGATTTCTCTAAGTCCACAAAACTCTGAAGTGCAAGAGATTTTATTGAACCCTTGGGTTCTGATCTTACAAGAAATCTTGAGGAATTGAAGCCTACTTATGTTTTACTTTGGCCCAGGCCAACACTATGCAAGGTACCAACAACCAAACCTAAAATCCATACCTTGAAATATTCTCTGCCTGAATGAACAGGCTTTAAAGAGCAGAATACTCACTCAAGTCCTAATTCCTCATTCTGTACCTGCTGTAGCTGTGAGCTGTGCACAAAGACACAAAATGTGCCTCCTCTCAGGGGCATCCTGGCCCAGTTTTACTGCTTAAGACCCATCAGAAAATCTTCAACAGTGGCAAAGCAGTGCCTGGATGCTGCAGAAAAGTCTGAAATGCTGCTGATAGATCTCTGCTCTGCTTTTAATAGGGAGTGAAGTGATCCCTAGGCCAGCCTTGGGTGCAGCAGCAGCAGAGCTGTGTGATGAGAAGAAAGAAACGTTCAGCAACAATGGGAAATGCTTTCCTGAGCCAACTTTGTTCCCAATAATTCAGAGTGAGAGCTCTCTATTCTCTGCACAGCCCGATGTCCTCGCCTGTCATGTGGCCAGGCACATTCTTTCCAGCTCCTTTCATGGCACAGACATTTGGGATCTGTTGTGGAGCTGCTGTTGCTGCTCTCCCCTCTTTTGGAGGGTTCAGAGGGGGAAGGTGCTGGTCTGGATTGAACCCCTGGGGCTGGCTTTGGGATCAGCAGTGACCACCAAGGTGTTCCATGAGGGACATGACCTTCCCAGGACATTCTCCCTTTCTCCCTACCCTCATTTGTGGGAAAAATGCAGAGGGAAACCAGCATGGGGTGAATGGAGCCTCCACCAGCTTCATGAGGGAGAGCAGGGTGACTTTGGAGGGGGTTTTTGTTGCAGGCCATCAGTGCCAGCGTGGTGTGTGGCACAGAGCAGTGAGGCAATGCTGGAATCTGCTAACAATGAGGCTGAGGTGGCTCTGTGCCACCCCAAAACTGCACAGGCGTGAGGGTTTTCCTTCAGCCAGCCATGTCCATGCATTTCCTGGAACAGGGACAAGGCCACACAGCTTCAAGCCACCAAAGACAACAGTAAACAAGCTGGGTTGCTGGGTAGGCTCTGAGTTACAAGAGTCAGACACTGTTTGTTTCCAGGGAAGGAAAAAGGGGAGAAGAAAAGCTCTCACCATCAAGGCTTTTTCCTGGATCTCACATCCAGGTCCACATCCAGCCCTCCAGCATCTCCCTGATCCCCTCCCAACAAGCGGCCTGGAAGGACAAAGGTTTTATCCCATTATCCCCATAAAAAAGTCAGGAAAGGGATGGTTAAACACTGTCTCCAAGTCATGTCTTTATTTTGTGCATGCTTTTTTTTATTTCATCATCTTCTACTGCTCCAAAGGAGAAACAAACAGCTTTTAGGGAAATGTTTCCATTGAAAAATCCAGCACTGGGGCTGTGTTTTTCCTCCTCAGGGGTGAGGAGGGGGAGGAAAAGCGTGTGCAGGGATTTCTCTCGTTCCGGTTCCTCCGAAGGAACAGCCCCTCACAGCACTTCTGGCTCTGGAGGAAACATCTGTGGCCATGGCCACGTTCCTCGGGCAAACCCCCCTGCTTGGGAGCCTGTTGTGTACCAAATGCTTTGATTTCCTCGTTGCCATCTCTTAAAGATTATCTGCCTCCCAGAAA